TTTAACTTTTTTTCTGGGGTTATTTAGTGGCATTTTAGATTCTGCGGTGATGGGTGGTATGGTTTTATTATTTATTTGGTTACAGTCTAGTGGCCTTTCGGCTGGTGTTGCACTCTGATGGGATATTTCTGTGTGTTTTGAGAGGGGTGATGCGGTGGGGTCTACTGTATCTTTCACAGGGTTGGGGATAATGGCTTGCTGCAATGTCCTATTACCTATTTCACAATTAGTCTTAGTGAGATAGTTGTGTGCGCGCCTTTCTATAACTGTTTTTTCCACCCCGACCTTTATATGTTTGTAGTTTCTGGCTTGCGATAGGGTGTGTTGGGAGTGAATGAATTTTCTGGTCTCTGCCGGTGTTTCGAACTGAAAACGAATAGGACAACACTTTTCATGTTGACTCTTCTTCAGCCTGTAGCACTTAGTCTTGGAGTTAGGCATTTTCGCTTCACTAAGTAAGATGCGCTGTACCTTTTTTAGTGCCTCATTGTCCGGAACGTTGTAGACAATAGCACTCAGTTTTGCGTCGAGTCGTTTTGTTACTTCTGTGGTAACAAAGTTAATGAGGTTATCTACCTTAGTTACCGATTCTGTGTCAAGCTTGTTAAGGTTTACCGTTTTCATGAGGATAGTTAGAGGTGTCAGTTCACAGACCTGCGATCTGATATCGCTGATCTGATCTGATAATTTGGATATCTCGGTATTGGTTTCGATGTTTCCAGCATTTACTGACTTATTGTTTTTTATTTCCCTTAACTCAGCCTTAAGTTCTCCTATAGACAACTTTAGAAGTTCTATTTCTGAAGATAGTACTGAAAAAGAGCTTGATGGCTGGAGTTTCTCCATAAGCACATAAGGTGAAGGGAGGAGTTCTGTATGAGCAGAGGGTACCGAATTTTTAGGAGTAGTGCTAATACTGGCTGTCAGTACAGTTTTATCCTCAGTTTCAGCTCGACGCTTACGGCATACACGTGAGTTATGTGACTCACTATAGCCGTTTGTAGGGGTTGTGTTGCTTGATGTAGCAATCAAGGACGTTAAATTAGACACCAGTTTTACAGGGGATTGGGTTCGTTGCTTTTTACTTTGATTAACCATAACTATTAGAAATTAGAGTTAGTGGTTACAAGTATGGAAGTGGTATAGTACTTGTGCAAGTACTACAACAAGATAAATTTTATGTAACGAATCACGTAAAAATGTAACGCAAACGTTGAACGTACCGCGATACACAAAATGTTGCCGTTCAGATTTGAGGATATAGCTGATAGAAGGAAGTTAGCAAATGAACTCTGCGACGATTTTCCAACCTAGGGCGTCAACCTGAGAAGGATTGTAGGCGTACTGCTGTAAGTCCTACAGTTCTTCAAGGGTAGTTTGTCAAGGCAGAATCCACCACATTTGATGTGTTGATTGTACATATGTTTGTGTTAAATAATTGTGTGAGTTCCAATTGATGTAATTGTTGGTTAATCTTGTTTGTGTCTGGACATTCCACAACTTATAATCGTCAACCTGTGAAGGGTTGCAGGCGTACTGTTGTAAGTCCTGCAATTCTTTAAAGGAATTCCATCGAGACATGATCCGCGAGGTTATTTGTACTGTTTGTGTATACGAGTGGTGTGTCTTCGCAATTTGTGATTTTGGATCAGTTGTGTTTACTCGTTGTTTTCGTGCCTTGTTTTTATTGCATAATTTTGTTAAAATTTTCGTCGTGATTACTTCTGAAGTTCTTTCTTGTCTTCTACATCCGTGAATGAATTGATTGATGTTAGAGACAGCAGATGGGTCGTATACGCCGGGGAGGCTAGGCTATTGCTGAGAATGAATTGCACACGGAGATAATTGTTAGCTGCGGTCCGACACGCCGGGGAGAAAGAGTGTAAACGACTGAGGCTTGCATGCGTCACCGCTACTAGAACTGAGGCAGAATGAGTGACAAGCGATTGCAGTGGTAATTCGTAATGAGTAGATAAGAGGATGTGCGTGGAGTATCATGAGTTGGTGCTATGGTCACTTTGCATTCTGCAAGAGTCATTCTAGCAAGTGGCGATTGTGTTGCAAGATGTCAAGAGGAGGTCTCTGTCTGGAGGCGCAGGTCGTCAGTGATGTGTGAGATTGTGCTGTGGGTATGCTTGTGGTGTGTTGGCTTTTCTGTTTGTTTTCCATTTCAGCTCTGTCCGTGTGACCCAGGTTCTCGCAATGGCATCCAAGTCAACGTGCATTGGTCGTGAAGGAAAAAAGGGTTGGATCCCTTTTTTGCCGGGGAGTGTCAATGGAGTTGAAGATTGAATGATCAATTCTTGGTTGTTTGCTCAAAATCAGCTTCCTCGATTTTCGCGGAGGCATCAATACGACAGTCATCGTCTCATCGGTCGCTGTTCAGAAAGAAGAAAGAAACATCGTCAGAAGTAATACAATGATTTATTATTGTAATATTTGTTTTCAGACCTTAGTTTTCTTAGTTTGCTTAGTGATACTTGATTTATATGCTGGTGTAACAATACATAATACTCAAGTCAACAATTGGTGTTTTGGTTTTTTCGTCCGTTGTTACTAAGCGTTTCTGAGAAATCTTCTAAGAACAGCGTGGGCCCGAGCGTAGCGAGAGCTGGGCATTAACGGTTTATGAGACTTTGCTGACATGTATATACATGTGGTGTGTCATATCAATCTGTGATTTTGGATTAATTGTGCTAGAATTTTCGTCGTGCTTACTTCTGAAGTTGTTTCGAGTCTTCTACATCCGCGAATGAATTGATTGATGTTAAAGACAGAGGATAAGTCGTATACGCCGGGGAGACTATTGCTGAGAATGAAATGCACACGGAGATAATTGTTAGCCGCGGTCCCACACGCCGGGGAGCAAGAGTTTGGACGACTGAGGCTTGCATACGTCTCCGTTACTAGAACTGGGGCAGAATGAGTGACAAGCGATTGCTGTGGTAATTGGTAGTGAGTAGATAATAGGATGTGCGTAGAGTATCGTGAGGTGCTGCTATGGTCACGTTGCATTCTGCAAGAGTCATTCTAGCAAGTGGTGATTGTGTTGCAAGATGTCAAGAGGATGTCTTTAACTGGAAGGCGCAGGTCGTCATCGATGTGTGAGATTGTGCTGCGGGTAGGCATGCGGTGTGTTGGCTTTTCTGTTTGTTTTCCATTTCAGCTCTGTCCGTGCGACCCAGGTTCTCGCAATGGCATCCAAGTTAACGTGTATTGGTCGTGATGGAAAAAACGGATGGATCCGTTTTTTGGTGGGGAGTGTCAGTGTAGTTGAAGATTGAACGATCAACTCATGGTTGTTTGCTCAAACCCAACTTCTCCAATTTTCATGGAGGCATCAATACGACAGTCATCGTCTCATCGGTCGCTGTTGAGAAAGAAGTCAAGAGACAAACATCAGAAGTAATATTGTGATTTATTATTGTAATATTTGTTCATAGACCTTAGTTGTAAAGCTTATTTTTAAAGTTGGCTATATGTTGGTGCTAGAATAAAGAATTCTCGAGTCGCCAATCGGTGTTTTGCTTTTGCGTCCGTTCGTACTAGGCGTTTCTATGGAACTTCAAGGAGCTGCCCAGCGTAGCAAGAGCTGGGCATTAACGGTTTACGAGACATGGCTGACATGAGTAGTGTGTCCTGATGAGAGTTGTATTTTAAGACAGGTTAAATATCAGTTTTAATAAATGACAAGGTTATATAACTTATCTGTTCCCCGGCTGGGTATTAAGCTCCAAGAATGCGCCTAATGGTAGTACAACAAGGTAACGAACCACGTGTGTACAGTCGCGCCGGAAAATAACAAGATGGTGTCGCTTAATAGTGAACGAATGAAATGAAACAAAATCCCACACGTTCAAGGTGTACTTTAAGAATCATGCAACTTTACTGAATAACAAGTATACTAGTGATATCACTTTTAATGTCACTGGGATGGATACCAATAACCCCTGTGATGTGAAATCATCATGACTTGGTTCTAACAGAGTGAGAAGCAATGACAACAACGCTCAACTCATGATTCTAAGATAGGTAGAACAATTTTCAGCAATGAATTCCTGAGCTTGAAGGTTCTGATAATTTATTCATGAGGCAACAGCCAGGAGCATTAGTGAACGAGGTAATAAAATTTCATTGTTATCCCTTCAGTCTTATATTAAGTCCATTTAATGGTACTAGGGAAGATTTCAAAACACAAAGCGTGATAAAGAAATAAATGGTCATATCGTGGTACAGGTGTTTCCAGTGTGTAATTTTGAATGCAGTTTTAATACGTGAAAAATTAACTAAAAATATAGCACCGAGGTTAAAGTACTAAATTATAGGTATTTGATTGGTTGGTTACAGGATTTCAATATGAGCTGACACCAGTTACAGAAATACTGGAAAACCCGAGAGCATTGGGCAGCTGTTTAGTCTCTTTGTTCTCTTCATCAGTACGCACCCAACGGGGCTCGAATCTGACGAACTGGAGGAAAGTGGAATTCATGGGCCGCTGGATCAGGTCCCATGGCTTAGTGGTCTACGAGCTTGCCTTATAGCCAGAGGGTCCTGCGTTCAAACCCTGGTTGATGAGTACTGGTGAGGAGTCTCAAGCTAGAACGAAACAACTGTCCAGTACTCCAAGTTTTTCCAGTGGTCTTCTAGCAGACGTCAGTTCATGATGAAATCCTGCAACTAACATAGCATTGAAGCACCGGTTAGATTATCTCGGTCGTCAGTGGATGAAAAAACAACAGAAATGCAAGTAGGATATCCACAATTCCGCCAATAATGTCTTATTTCGTCCTTTTTAGTGAACTTGAACTAATGCTGTGATAGTATCTGAGTGATAGCCCCAAATATTCTATGGCAGTAATACTGATATTTTAATTTATAAACAGGACCAAAGTGGGAATTCGTATTCTCTTAAAGCCTGGAAAGAAACTGATCTTCTAGGTATTAATTCTTTCTATTTGCAAAATAGCAAGGAGTGTTTATCATTTCTTTTTAGTTTGAATCTTCTAATTAGTCGCCTTCAACAGTAGCGTGACTTTAAAAAATTTATGTAATGGTGTGGGGTTCGATTTGTATTGGTTTAATTTTTTGGGATATTATGTCCTACGTATAACAAAAGTTGCATCGCTTTATTTAAGCTTATTTCACTTTATTATGTATGATGGTGCTTATGTACGGGGAAAATTTATGACATTGCTAGGAATCTAAGGTTCGTACGTCAATAGATCATGAGTTGTACAGCCATTAGAATTTCACTGCTATTTACTCAATGGGTATGGGATTATGTATTTATTTTGATAAGTGAAAAATTTGTTACTATAACATATTCGTCGATAATGCCTTTTTGGTGGATGAATATTTTATATGCTTAAAATGAACACACTGTGTATTGAAATAACGCTAGTCGTTCTCATAAAGAGCACTGGATTTCTAATTAAAGCGTTGAAATCTTAGAAGCAGGATTCGCAGCTGAAATAATGCCTTTTATGCTGAAATAAATCAGAAAACACTGCCACTATGCACTGGAGTGTCTATTGTTCTGAAACAGTGCCAGTCAGTGCTGAGTGCTTTGCGGAGAGGGTTGAAACAACGCTGATTAGCATACTTAGTGGGTTCTATGGTTCTTCTGGAAATGCCTAGAAAAAGCAAAAATTGCTGATTTAGCTCCAGTTATGCTGAAAATCAACATTGATTTCAAGCCCATGAGCATAATCAAACCATTTCAGAATTTACTCATTACAGAATGCTAGAGTTAGGAATTTAATTGAGCAGTATAGTAATACTGGGATGGTAATGAATGCAAAATAGTCTTTTCGTATGATGAAATTGTTGGTATGTTTCACCCCCACTTCTGCACTACAGATATACATATAATATCAGTAATAATAATTGTTATTATAACAATAATTATAAGTGTAGTAAGGCAAGAGAAAATGTGAAGAAGATTTCAGATTTCAGATTTATTGGTTGAGGATAGAAGGCTTGCAGCCTATGTTAATCCTTTTCTAGTAGATTTCTATGGTTGTCCAAACCCTTCTTGAACGAATCAATTGAGGTTGCAGACACCACTTCTTCTGGGAGTCGGTTCCAAGAGTTTATGACTCGATGTGAGAACCAGTACTCAACAGCAATATGATTTCTCCTTGGCTTTTGAACTCTCCTGCTATGTCCTCTAAGGTGTTCCGACCTGGTGGGAAGGAAAAGAGAGAATAGGTCAGGTCCGTAGTCATTATTTAAAATTTTAAACATTGTGATTAAATCTCCTCTCTGCCTACGGTATGACAGTGAGAAGAGATTTAAACTATCTAGTCTTTCCTCATATGATAGGTTAGCTATGCCGTGAACCATACGTGTTGCCTTCCTTTGAACACTTTCTAGAATGTGTGAATCCCCTTTTAGACACGGACTGGCGGCCTGGATGCAGTTTTCCAGTCTTGACCTAACCAGAGATGTGTATAAGGAGGTGAACATATCTCTGGTAATTCTTGTGAAGGCTCTGCGAATCGCCCATAAGGACCTGAAACTACATGCAGCCACCGCGCGACAGTGTGCTGTAGTTTTTAAGTCGTGGCTAACTATGACACCTAAGTCCAAGTGAGTCTGAACTGATGGAAGTGTTATTCCCTCTAGTTCGTAGGAGCTCGTGCTTGCTTGTCCAATGCGCATGGTTGCACATTTTGCCACGTTGATCGGGAGCATCCATTCAACAGACCACTCCGACAGTTTGTTGAGGTCGTCTTGCAAGGTGGACGTATCACTGTTGCCCTTCAGCTCCCTCCAAATTTTTAAGTCATCTGCGTATAGGACCATAGGGGAGTCGGTCAGCAGAGGTAACTCATTGATATACAGAATAAAAAGGAGAGGACCGAGAACCGTGCCTTGTGGCACTCCGCTACTTAATGCTGTCCAGGAGGAGAGTTTTGAGTTGATCCTAACCCTCTGCCTCCTATCTATGAGGAATTCCCTGAGCCAGTCTAGTAGTCTGCCTTTGATACCAAGACTTTTCAATTTCATGAGTAGTCTTTTGTGAGGTACTTTATCAAAGGCTTTACTGAAGTCTATGAAGACGACGTCAACGGGTCTTCTGTCATCCTTTGATTTAACCCAGCTTTCTCTTGCAGTCAGGAGATTTGACAGGCATGAGAGGTTCCTCCGGAAGCCATGCTGTGCTCCAGATAACAAGCTGCTATTTTCCAGATAAGCCATGATGCTTTTCTTGATAATTCTTTCCAGTGTCTTGATTAAAGTGCTGGTGAGACTGATAGGCCTGTAATTTGAAGGGCTTTGTCTTGATCCTCCTTTGTGTATGGGAGTTACTATGGCGTCTTTCCAATCACGTGGCAACACTCCATTTTGGAGAGATAGCTTGAAGATCGTGGTCAGGGGGCCGGCTATGTGGGCTGATAGCTCCTTGAGAAGCCTTGGATGAAGACTGTCAGGACCCATTGATTTTCCTGCATCTAGTTTCATTAAGAAGTTGAGCACGATGCCTTGGTCGATGTCAACGGAATCTATCCCATGTTCTTCTGATGCAGCCAGAGCTGATCCTATAGGCAGTGATGACTCCTGAGTGAAGACTTGGGAGAAGTAGTTTGCCATTGCTTCTGCTTTTTCTTGATCTTCTTCGATTGTATCTTTGTCAATAATCAGGTTTGGGACACCATTGGGTGTTTTATTCCTGAAATTCAGGTACGAGAAAATTTTCTTAGGTTGTGCCTTTGCATTTTGGGCCAGGTGTGTCTCGAACTTCATCCTTGATTGGCGGATTTCTGCGATAGCTTTATTTCTAGCAGTAGTATATAATTCCCTGGTCTCAGAAGTCTCAAGTGTTGCAAACAGGTTCCAACATTTGCGTTTACGTCTGAGTAACTTACGAATCTCCCGGTTTATCCAAGGGGGGGAATGTTTCCGACCCTTTGGAACAGACCAAGGGATGAAGGGTACAGTTACTTGGGCGTAAAGTTGCTTAAATTGGTTCCATGCGGCTTCTACTTGGGACTCTGGATTGATGTACCAGTTTACTGAGTTGGCTGCTGAGACGATCGCATTTATGTCAGCTTTCCAAACGTTTGGTCGAGCTGGGGTTTTGGCCCTTGCTGCCGTTGCTGTGAACTTGAAAGTGAGCACAGTATGGTCACTTCTTCCTAACGGAGGAAGATGTTGTATAAGATCCACATCCTCACAGTGTGAGAACACTAGGTCCAGAGTTGATGAGGAGTGCTGTGAGTCATAGCGCGTGGGCTTAATGATATGTTGGACTAGGGCTAGCGATATACTAGATTCTAGCAGTTTATGGTCAAAGGAGTTGACTGAAGATGGAGTTGTTAGGCTCGACCAGCCAAAAAGGGAAACGACGAATTTTGATGTCTACCCATGACTGGGGTATGGGATTTTAAGGGTGTAGGACATTTCGATGCAGTCTTTGTGTAGCTTCAAGATTGTCCAGACTTCGCTTAAAGCTATCCACGGACGGTGCCGTAGCTACATCTGTCGGTAAGGAGTTCTAGGGATGGTAAACCCGCAGTGAAAAAAGGTGGGAGCGCACCCCAGTCTTTGCCCTCCGGTGAGCTATCCTTCTGGGATTTCTACGAGGATGTACATACCTACTCAATGGCAGAACACCCTTGTTTGGGTGGTTCTGGCATCTTACAGGCAGCAGTTGAGTCCCCCTTACGCAAACGGTATCTAAGAGTGAAGAGACCTAATTTCTTTAGCCTTTCATCATACTGTTTACTTCGGAAACCCACCACTCCTTTTGTCGCCCATTTTTGAACTCCTTCCAAGGCGGTGGCGTCTCTTCTAAGCAGTGGAGGTGCAATGATATCGTGCACTTCAAGGTGTGGTTTGACGTATGTTTTGTACAACCTTAGAAAGAGCTCAGGAGTGAGTGCACCTAACTGTCTATGTGTAAAGTGTGTGACCACATATACCCTCGTTACATACCCCGTTTAATTCACACTTGTGTTCACTTTGTCTGTTAGAACTAGACCTAATTCACGCCCCAACGTCGTGCAGGAAAAGTTTTCGTTGCACAAAGTGTAACTTGCATTCTGCAGCCTACATGTACGTAACTTCACTTCTTCATACCATTGTCCATCGCCCATTCTTGCATAGTTTTTTGGTCTGCCTTCAGCCTATCTAAGTCTTCTGAGAACTTTATTGCTCTCCAGAGTCGGGAAGTTTAGACGGCATGGCAGGTCATTGATAAAAATCAGAAACATAGGCGGTCGTAGGATAGAACCTTGCGACACTCCTCATGACGAGCCATGCCAGGATGATTGGGCTCGATTGACCTTAGTGCAAAATTTCCTTTCAGTTGGGTAGTGCTTCAACCATGACAGAAGCGGCTTAACTATACCTACCTGACTTATTTTGTGTAGGAGAAGGTCATGGTGAACTGTGTCAAATGACTTCTCAAAGTCTAGAAAGACCACATGGACTGAGACATTCACATTCCAAAATGATGTTCAGTCATCCCAAGCTGATAATAGGTTTGTTACACAGGATCTGCTTTTCCTGAAACCGTGTTTGGCTTCATGGAGTATATTAGACCTATCGAGGTTATCCTTGATGCGACCATCAATAATACTTTCCAGTTGTTTTGATACCACTAGGTGTAGCACTACTGGTCTGTAACTAGTGGTATTTTTCCTATCCCCAACCTTAAAGAGAGATGAGAGAGAGAGGATGGCTCTTTTCAACTCCTTTGTCAGTTTTTCCGAATCCATCGAGTGTTAGAACAAGTTACATGAGGGGCTACAGAGAGCTTCGACACACTACCTCGGAACAGATAGCCTGATGTCGTCACAACATGGGGACTTTCCAGATATGAGTCTCTGTAGCTTCATTATTACCAATGTCTGGTTTATCTGGGGAGTAGCCATCAGGTTCTCCTCTGGTGAGATAGTAGTGCCACCATTTTGGTCCGTACCACTAATACCCACCTTGCTGTTTAATTGTTTGTCGAAGTCTAAACTGAATGTTTCTGCCACCTCCAAACTAGTGAGGGATTGGCCGTTTGGACCTATTAAGGCGCATGCCCCTGGGTTGGGTATTTTTCTCTCTTACATGAATCAGTACAGGCTTTTGGGGTTCAATAGGAGTTTATTGGCAAGGCTAACATGAAATAACCTCCTGTCACTCCTGACTGTCACGTTGCACCGGTTCCCAAGTTCCAGGTATGCATCGTGGTCGGTCTGACTATTGGATGCTCGCCGTGTAGACAAAGCCCTCGCTCTGCTTGCAGAACACTTTGAGCATCTCTCTTTAGTTGTGAGGACCTTTTACGTGACCGTGTTGTGATTAAAGGGACAGTATCAGAGACTGCCGTGTGGATAATCTCTTCTACCACTTCTTACCACACTTAACCCATCAGTATATTATTCTGATTGCTGACGCATTTTTTTGACTTTGGGCTCTGTAGTGCGATAATTATTATAATACAAACGTACATATGCTTAAATTAAACTGTAGGTTATACTGTTTGCCATTATTAATCTCGTGAGTTCGGACTTTGTGTTTTATTAAATGGATATGTTTTTAATACTTTCGAGAACTTGTAGTCCATGAAATAAACACTGAAAATACCTTTTTTTCTCACTGAAGAATATACTTGGATAGGTGTCCATCTTGGTAACTTGGTATATGTTGGCTTGTCTCATCTGACTGTTTTGACTTTTAGGTTTTTCAGAATGAATTTCTTCGTACACATCAGGAAAATAGAGCAGGACTTAGTATGCACCCACTTGATAACGATAGGGTTATTTGAAAACTTCCTTAGAATAAAGATGAGATTATGGGATATAGTGTTGCATTTCTCAACTCCTTATATGCCCATTCTCTGAGTGAGCGGTAACCTAAAACCACCACAGTCCATTAGTAAGTTTTGTCTTCTGCAAGTAATCCCACTCTTCATGCAGGCGGTACATATGAAACCATCAGACATTTATCAGCGGCTGTTTTCACTTCATACCGAAGGTCAGGTGGCCGGATACGATTAGAAACAAAAAAATCAGGCAACCAACCAAGACTTTATTTAGATGTTCGTATGGTCGCCAACATTTTCCAGTTTTAATATGTTTTCAAATTTATTCTGTTTACTAATCTGAGAAAGACATCGGAAAAACCTGCGCCATATATATATACATATATATATATATATATATATATATATAATTCTTATATAAAATTATATTTCTCCCCGGTTAATTAAAGGTTGTTTTAAAACTGTGTTAATATCTTGAATTACAATTTAGTGTCGGGCTATCTGAGGGATTGGTTTTCTGAAGAGTTCTTAAAGCCAGAAGCAGCGCTAAAGATCACTTTCAGTAATATGCAAACGAAATGTCTACTACTCAAAATATGATATTGTACTGAGAGACCTATTTGAATATAGTGAAGTTTGCACCCTGATGCGTGTTGCTGAGCAGCATTCTCGTTGTATCAACAACCGGTCACATCCTCGTTCATGTACTTTAGAATGTCGACAACGCGATAAAGATTTGGAGGAGGTAAGTATATAGAATTTGGAGTTTAGAAGAGGTTTCAATGTAAGTAATTCGAATATATATAAACATATATAAACCGTTTTGTGAACAGCCTAGTAAACCCAATGTATCTGTGAACCAATTCAGAAGGATTTATCTGTTTACATCGTCAGGATGATTTGATGATAATATGAGACACTTACAGGTTCAATATTGAGTACTGATATGTGCAGATAGTACTTCAATGCAGTGTCAAAGTTTTCTTCAGTTATGAGAAGCATAAAGCATATGTTTAATGATGATGGATCACTACCTGATGTACTAAAATCTTGATAAGCTTCTTATTAGTTTTACTACACTTTAAACTGTTCTTCAGCACCTTTTCTAAGCACTTTTATCATAATTTAATAGGTACTTACAATTTGGATCTTAAAGTTACTTTTACCATTAACGACCTATAAACACAAGGTAACGGTTGAAACATCATAAGTATACAAAGAAAATATATTGCTTCATTTTGTGTCAGTAAGTGAACTGATTTGCGATTGTGGCATGTTCAACTGGTAGGATTTATCAGTAGTATATCATCATCATCAGCATGCAAACATCAAACAGCAAGGAGACAGATTTGTTGTCAGAGAAAGCAAACGATACAGCGTTGCGAAGATACATGGAAAAAGTGAAAGGAACACAAAGAAATATAATATAAAGGAGATAAGTAGCACAACACGAAAGATCTGTGCAAGTGGTAATTTGAAGATACAGTGTGCTTAATTTCGCTATATAGAGATACCAAGTTACAAATAGACATTCCTTTACCCTGTCTCTCGTCTTCTACAGTTAAATGAGGAGCATATTTTAATCAAAATAAAAGTCAAGTAACATGTTACACGGAAGGCGTCTGTCTCAAATATTTCGTAAAAACATCCATTCAGTGTCAAAAGATGATTAACTTGTGTTTTATTTCTCATTAACTTGATAATTTAAGAAACTGTGCGTATAATTTCCAGCTGTAACTGTACTTGTTCTTCAATAGCGTTCTAATTCCCTTTGCAATATTTTTATCTCATAATAATTTATACTACTGCAATATATGCGGGCTAAGTATTCCTATTAGTGGAAAATACGTTTAGAAAGAAACTAAATTTTAAAGAGGGTATTTAACTATAAAACCCGTAATGCTGAAAGGTTGACTAAAACCACTGGTAAAAGAAGACCATAACTTCCCACGACTGCCTACTCTTGTTCTAATAGGGTATAATCGGTCCACTAATTTTTTAAATATGCTTCCTTAAAACCACAAAAAGCGAAGTTCAGTTGTTACTCAAGAAATGCCCTCAATTTAGTAATAATTTTTCTTTACACTTATTTTAAACTCCTAAGGCTCGTTCGCGTGCTACTCAGCTAGAGAAAACAATGAGATGGTGGTCTGATTGCACTGCTAGTTGGAGAGAGAAATGGGCTACTTTGAGAGATGAAAGAAATTATCTGCGCGAAAAGTTAAATTCAACACAGAAAGCTCTGGAAGGTGCAACAGAAACAATTGAATTTCTAAAATCAGAAAAACAAGAATTACTAAATGACTTCCGAAAAGCTTCGAATAGTCATCACAATTCCACTTCAACCATTTTGCCTCTAAATCCTGCCTTTCATACAGTACAAGAGTCAAGCCAATCAAGAAAAGCAGATATAAGTACAAATCAAGGTTTGCCCTCTTTCACTTGGTTTTTATGCACTTAAATTAGTTAATTAAATTAGTGCTAGCTGAAGTCATCCAACTATATAGCATATATTGCTCTTATGAAGTGATGCCATCTGGATTTTCAGAACGTAATGTATGCTGAAGGTGTACTTTTCATATTTTGTAATACATAGTATTTTCCGATTAATCATGAGGAAGCACCCAGTATAAATTTCATAATGGAGAAAGCTTTTCAATGTATACCAAAGCGTGGTGGGTGATGGGATTACCAAGTCTTGTTAACTGAATACAAGGATAAATGCTGCATGTAGAATGTTAAAAGCTGATCGACCAGGGAATCTCGCTTATTGGTACAGCATTTTTACAACCTTGAGGATAGTCCTAATTTCTTGAAGTTTGAAATTCGTCTCGGTTAGTAACAAAATCACAGATTTTACTACTACTTATAACCAGCTCACTACTGTTTTTCTGTCTTTTTTCGACATAGAACTTTGCACCGATGTGCAGCAGTTCAAGTCGCCACAACTGTAGAGCTGCGCATTTAATAATTTATGGTTACTCAGGTTTGTAGAATTTCAGTCAATCTATTCCTTCTTTTGAAACAAAGAAAGTTCGAAATTAGCACAATATTATCTGTACATTATTTTGAACCAGTAGCATATTTCCACAGGACCTTATCATTTCACAGATAACGCATTAACATAGCGTCGCATTATAATGTTTAACTTTAAATTTTCGTTTCTAATACCACTGAGAAAAGAAATACAACCACAGTGTTTCAGATACAAGAATAACGCGTAAACCTCTTATGTAGGACTAATACAAAGGAGAATGATTGATTGTTTTTATTATCACCTTACTCATGTATATATTCATTAAGCTGCACACAATTTACAAATTATATTCAAGTAACATTGTCGACCTTCCTAATGCTGTGGTATGCATTTTCTGAGTTTTCTAACTGGTGTATGTTTTCTATTTCACTTTCTGCTGTTGTTTCGACCATTTAAGATACTGAAAAGTTGAATGAATCATCAGAGTGTGTTGACAGAGCAACTGAGTTTCCCAATAACAATCAAGTAAGTATCAGAATGTTTAAAGGATTTTTATTCAGCTAACTTTATAAGATTCTATAGAATCCAGTACAGTGTCTCAGTGACATCTACAGTGTTCACATCAATATATTATTATTATTGCTCCCTTGGGTTCCTAGTGGAACATAGGGCTTCAACTGCACGTCTCCACTTGCTTCTGTTTTCTGCTGTACTTTTCACCTGCATCCATGTTAATCCATACTGTTTCAACTCCTTTTCACACGATCTCCTCCATGTCACCCTCGGACGCCCCACTCGCCTCTTCCCTTTCGGGTTCCACTCGAGGGCTTGACGCGCGATGTCACCCAGCGATCTTCTCGGCGAGTGTCCAATCCATCTCCACTTTCTCCTGTTCACAGAGAAGAATACATAAGTACTCCATACATGTATTTGAAAAGATGCAACACACTTTCAGAATGATTCAAATAATAATAACAATGAATTAAGTTCAGGCAAGTCATAACGATTAGGAGAAACTGGTCACTGGTTAGATTCCGAGTTGTACATTTAGTAAAGTAATCACATTATCGTTTGAATATATCTGGTCTCTATTTTACTGCGATACATTTCCGCTGAGCATACATGCTGACTAATCATGTTATTCACATAATGGATTTGTCAACTTCTAAGTTTGCAGGAATTTCAAAGGCTTCAAGGCAATTTCGTCACCAACAGTTCAGTCAGTATATAGGCATTAGATAAACTGATAGGATTTTTAAGAATTTTAAGCTGCTTCTAGCCCTAATTTAGTATCAGAATTGTCCAGTATTTTAAGGTTTGAATAGAGATAGTAGACTTTGACCAAAACAAAACTAGTGTTTGATTGGCTTTTTCTTTCCCTCCAATTTTAGTCATCGAAAAGGCAATTACTAGAACTGGCATCAACAATTCGCTGGTGGAAGTGCCAGTGCATGTCACTTGAACAGGAGGTAAATGAACTCAGCCCTTTTTAAAATTTTAAAGTGGCGTATTTCTTGACATTCTTGTTTTTATTTGCATGTCGATTTTCGCTTCAGTTTATCTCTCATCTCACAATACTACAAGGGTATCTTAATTCACATGTAACCTTCTTTATGCGTTTCTTCATAAATTCCGCAAATGTCGCTAAAAAATATCTTACGTTTTAAAATTTGTACTTAGCTAACATGTAGCATGCTTAATTGACATCACAGCGATACGATTAGTGATGCATCATCAATGTTCACCTACGAAACTTTAAGATAGGAGATTATAAAAAATTACATCTATTAACTAGAAGTTCGTGTAGACAGATAACTTAAGTTGTAAATTTAAGATGACTGGAAAAGTGTTCTGCTCGACCTAATTTCCGTGTTTGTTAACACTTACTAGCAAGTTGTACCTAAATATTAAAGAGATTCATCCTCTCTTTCTTAATGATTTAAAATTCAATCAGTGTTAGTCGACTTGATGCAATTGTGTTTTGTGCCTATTGGTCAACAACGTGTGTCTGCAATCTGGAAAGAAAAGAGGCTTAAACATTTCTCACCTATTGCTACATTAAGTCAGTCTCCAACTAGTATCCCGTCACCAGCTTAATGACCATATTGGACACCTGGTTAACATATTCCAGTCAACTTAATAAGGACTACCTATCTACATTAGTTACCACCGGAAGATCACTTTGTGTAGTCAAAAGTATGTTATTCATAGTCTTCCTTTATACATGATTAATAAATTAGTATATCATTCATTGACGAATGGATTTTTAGTTTAATAGTTTACTTTCACTGGAGTGGGTTCACCAAAGTCTGAAGCTTAGAGTGGAGTCGATCTAATATTTTTGCTGCCTTCTGACGGTTTCTTTAGTTTGTTTAGTTAAAATTCTGTTTTTAGATGGAATGCTTGTGACAATTATAGTCAGTTTACGTTTAAGTGGTAGATTTTTTGTGCACCTCATACTTTATTGCTTTCCAGTGGTTTCTTCTTTGGGGTCTGTATTTGGATTGGCTTAGTGTTCTATATTACGGTTAATAGGTGGTTTGCTGTGTTTAAATGATAAATTCAAGAACTTTACTGTTTTTTGAGGTCTTTCTTGATTTTTGTTGTTTGACACTTCAGTAGGTTTTTGAAAATCTTTTGTGCTCTACAGCTGGAATTCCGCTTCGTCAAGAGAACAATTGGAGATAAGATTTCATGTTGTTCTCTATGTCCTAGTTATTTTACAGGCAGTATTCAAATCAATCCATCTTATGGTCACCTATTCACCTAAATACTGTGCTTTCTGGAATAGCCTATAGTTTTTTTTAGGTGGATTGTTCTGTGATTTTTAGATTGTTTTTCAGTACAACTTGAAACCATGTTTATGGAGGTGATTTATCCAATACTTTTTCCAGTTTGCCTACCTTAATTATTATCATATACCTTGTAGTTGGTTTCCTATTTCTTCTTTGATTATTAGATTGCACAGAATCCTTTAAAGGCATTTGTATACAACTTCTAACCTGCGTTTTCAAAATGGTTTATCATATATGAAAACACTATTATTTTGTTTATTATACTGATTGGTGATCTGATGAAAATTTGTTGTTCATAAGCGACTGCGTTAGTGGCTGTATCCAAATATATTCTGATTAACTTTTTTTCAATGCTGTCTTGGCAGGAGTTAAGCACTTCTAGAGAAACTAATCTAAACACAAGTTTTCGAGTCAGAAGAAACTTTCTGTGTCTGTAAAACTGTTTCAGTCATTTTCTATTGTTAATTTATTCACTAACTTAGCATTGTTTGATCCGCACCGAGGGTAAATCATTTTCATCAACACCTTTTCATATTTGTGCCAAATTTAAAAACAAACAACAGTTGAAACCTTTAATCTCACTAATTTTCTCGCAACTGGCCAACTAGAAAATATGTGAATATAAGTTTTCAGCGGCGACAAATAAATAATAATTGAAGGGCACTTGTATTTGCAGACTATTTTCACAATACACTAAAAGTCACTACTCAATCTGAAACAGTCATAAACGGTCAACAACTACCCAGTCGATATGCATCTGAACCTACCGATTATTTTCACATACTAACTTCTTAAAACAAAACATATATAGTTGGTTAGTTACAATTCAGTTGGGCAGAACAAGTTTTTAATGTGTCGGGTTGTGAGATATATCTAGTATGCCAGAAATGATGATAATGCTCAGTTGCTAACTGCCAAATAAGTAGGATGGAGCTCGAAACCACGACTCATTTGTTGAAAGTCAAGTTTTTAAGTCATTCAACAACATGTAAAGTATATTTAACTAGCATCGTTCATTAAAACTGTTTATCGAAGAGAAGAGACTGAATTTAGATTATTTTAGTTTTTAGATCGATATTTTCACATTCGCTAAAAAATACATGCGCGAATTGCCCCATATCTGTGTGTCAACACGGCTGTATGCACCTTATGCCGAAATGGCAGTCATCCAACTTACATTATAATTGCTTTACTTAATTTGAATAGCTTCCACCATGCTACTAGTAGCTGACAGACAAAAACAATAAATCTTTTCTGCTACTGCAAACAAAGATAATGTTGTGTATGTAGTTAAGTGACATTGTTACAAATTGAAGGATTTTTAAAAATTAATCAATATTCTGGGTATATAATGAGGAATTTACGTTTAAATTTAGTAAATTAGAGGTAAAAAATATAACAAGACTAATATATGAAGACATACATATATGCGTCTGTACGTTTCGCTTCTCATATACGGACAAATATTCCAACAAGAAGTATGAAATACATAAATTAGGAAGAAAGACAAACAGGAAGAAAGATATTTACTGAAGTTAGTATAAGGCATTTTGTTAAATTTTATTTTTTTAAATGAAAACAGAAAACATCTCTGTCGGTGGAGTGTTCACATCTCATCGCATTTTTTCTTTAAGTAGTAATACATACTACACCGATTAAAGGTTTGAAACATAAAAATAGTGACCGTGTGCATGGGTATAATTTGCACAACATTAGTTGCTACTGCTAAGCGGAAAAGATAAGAAATACACTAAGTCATTTTTCCTTTCATATGGGCATGCAGAAATGCATAGATATACCTGAGAAAAGACAAGGTGAATAGTCGATTTAACGAAAGATAGCATTTAAATGTCAATGAATGTTGTAGATTTAGTGACATCAGTATATATATATATATATATATATATATATATATATATACGCCTGAATATGTCTTACGTATTTTATGTGTAAACTCCTTATATTGTCATTCAAACTTTATCGATTAGTCTACTTTCAATTAGTATCGGATAAAATGTACCATGTAGAAACAGAGAAAATAGAGAGTATAGTATCTCAGATACCACGTATTTGTATACATGAACAATGAAAAATTTATGGAACATAAGTGTGTAAGCAATCAAAGCTCAGTGACAGCTGCTGAACACCTAATTTTGCATTTTAGTGTGCATATTCTTATTATACTTTACAGCAGCGTTGGCAACGAAATCCATACCATGACTCATTTAGTGTTTCATTCCATGTGTTATGTAAATATAAGGCATCTAAATGATGTACAGAAACCTTTTTAATCAACATTTCAAGGTTACTGTACTCCTTAGGAACCATTATTTAAGAGTTTTGTATTATGCAAAGTAAAAGAATATATATATATATATATATATATATATATATATATATATATATATATATATATATATATATATATATATATATATATTTCCTTCGAAAATGTTCATGCAGAAAACAAATCAGTCACTACTGTGCTGCTTCCATCCGTTAGCCTGCTTCTTATGCCTTATTTATGATTACATAAAATACTGTTAATTGTGTAAAAGACAGAATGACTAGTTCAAACCAATACGATAAATATATTCCTGTTTAGCTGATTCATGCGTGCGTCTTATCCCTGCATAATGAGAAAATACTCTTCTGGGACTAATAATTTCACAACTTAGGAATACTCTGCCACTTGGCATTAAGATTTCATAAAGAGATCTGTGGAAACTTTTCAATAAAATTACAGTTTGTGGTAAGCAAGGTGTTAATGTCCCTTTTATTGGTGTAAATACTCTCAACGAATCTTTCATTCGCTCTCCTACTAATTCTTTTGTCCCCAATATAGCAAACAACAAGGTCTGTGACTCCCATGGTTTTAACACTTTAGATGTTCTTAAATATTTGAAATCTCTAAAACACTCCCAGAGGCTAGGTCCTGATAAGGTACCTGCTGTTTTCCTCAGGAGACGTACTGATATTATACGAACGCATTCAATACTTCCTTCTCCAGTAATTTTGTGTCTGCTGCGCGGTAAGACATGAAAATCATCGTTGCACCCAAATCGGGTTCTGGTAATAATGCTAAATTTAAACCTATTGCAATTACCTCTACTTTTCTGAAATTAATGGAAAAGTTACTCTTACTCCACCGTGTAATCTCCTTAAAAAGTTTTAATGATCTCAAACAGTTTGCTTATAGGCAGGGCAGAAGTGCTTTAGATGCTGCCGCTGTATTAAATCACAACATTGTCTCCTCCTTAGATAAAGGGGCCAAACATGTACATGGAACTTCCTTTGATAACACTTATGCTTTTGACTTATTACCTAGATACCTTCTGTTAAATAAGCTTCCCTTAAACAAACTGAGTCCTAGGTCGTCAACTGTTTCAATTCTTATTTCTCTAAAAGAATGCAGTATACAGTGTATAAGATCCGGATTTTCAACTCCAATGTGAAGTCAGTGCTATTATACGGATTACAGACTTGGAGCCGCGTCACGAAGGGCACTTCAAACAAACCACAGACCTTCATCAACAGCTGTCTTCGCTCAGTACTCAAGTTCAGATGGTCGGCTAGAAAAGATTAGCAACAGGAATCCCTGTGGGTGAACCAACCAACCAGTAACCGATTGTGCAACAAATAAGCAGGAAGAAATGGAGGTGGATTGGCCATACTCTGAGAAAACTATCAAGTGACATCATATGCCAGGTTATCGCTCGAGTGGGACCCGAACGGGAAGCGGCGAGTTGGTCGTCAGTGTGAGGGTGACATAGAGGATGTCATGCGAAGAGGAGGTGAAAGCATGTGGGGAGATGTGCAGCCAGATAAAAACATTGGAAGAGAAGCGGAAGCAATGGAGACGTGCGGCTGGAGCCCTATGTTCCTCTAGGAACTAAAGGAAACAATAATAATACTGTGAATAATAGTGAATCTTGCTCTACCTTGCTTACTGGAGCTGGTGTTCCTCAAGGTGCTGTTCTCTCTCCTTTTCTTTTTTCTTTCTTCTTACATGACCTACCTCTTTCTAGTGAAAAAAATTTGTCAAATACGCTGATGATTTTACTGTCTCACTTCCTGTCACGTCCAAGTCAGACTGTTGCAAACTTAATTGCTTTTTGTCGAACATCAGCCAGTAATCCAAGCAAAATGGTCTTACGTTAAATCCTTCAAAATGCCAGACTACTGACATCTCCATTAGATATAAACGCGATCTACAACGGCTGGTTAGTACACATGATGCTTGTAGCATACAGGGGACTGTGACAGAAACTAAATACCTTGGAATAGCTCTATCTTCTGACAATACTTAATCATCCCATATTTTGTCGATCTTCAAGGAAATGTTCCATCTAAACTACTACATTAAGAGGCTAAGACAATCTGGAATCACTCGACCCTTACTTTTACAATTTGTTTACACTTGTATCTTACCTATTGTACTTTGCTTCTCCTCACCCTTAGTCTTTCCTGGTCTACTAAAGAAGACTGTGTCATTTTGAGGAGGGTATTCAAAATTGTCAGTATTTCAAGTGGTGGGCAACTTAGTCAGCTTGTTACAAAATTAGATGAAAGACATCTGAACTCAAACGAGAAACTCTTTAAATCCATATTTTCTGACCCTCAACATCCCTCGGTTCTCAACTCTCCCCTTGTTTCTCATCTGGTAGAACTAGAAGTCAGTATAGAACATTATATGTACAGGAACCAAACGATTCCATATTCGGTCCGTGTTCTATTCGATAGAGACAATGTTGAGCGCAAAACCCATGAATTACTATGTTGTTAGCAAAATAATTGTCTCTTTTATTATCTCCTATTTGTAATCCATGGTGACATTATCTCAATTAACTGACAATCTTAGCTGTAACCTTATTATTATTTACAACTTTTCTTGTATATATATATATATATATATATATATATATATATATATATATATATATATATGACTTCATTGCCACTACAAATACCAAATAAGAACTACTATTAACAATCCTGTAATATTATCTTTATAATCGTTTTTAATGTTATTCGATAAAATTAGATGCAATATTGTGCCAAATGGTAAGAATTCCACACTGTGGCATCAATACTGTTCTGGAATAAATTATTATTTATTAGATGTTAAAAAAATAAACAGATATCTACATTTATCCAGTGACCAGTGTCAATGTTTTCACCCTTCCTGAACAGTTGTGTATTCACTTGAAACTGATTTTTGAAATGAACGTTTGTGGATCTTGGTTACAAAAAGTATAATAAACCTTTCTTTTTTTATTCATTTAGTTTATTTTTTCACAAAATACGACCGTTAAATTACAATAGTTGATACTATTTACTTACCTAACAGTGAGCGGATGTTCGATAACATAAATTTGGCGGTTTTAAAGGCAAATAACTTGTGTAACTAAAACCAACCAAGAGGAAATGACTGCATTACGCAAATTGCATTCACCACAGTAATCACTTAAGAATAAAATCCTCTACAGTGTTAGTGGATGTTTTTTTGAGAAAGTAACATTAAGTAAATCATTAGGAAACAATCTAATGATCGCGAAGAACAAATGATGATACGATAGAATGTAGTATGGAGTAGGTAAGTTTTCAGAGCATAACAAAAATAGAGAAGTAGTCAGTCGACAACATACTTAATCTGTTTAGTGCACTACGGAATTCACAGCAGTATGAATTTCAGGTAAGACTATGCTTCTCTCCATCAAGTATACTATTTGGATATCAGTGCTATCCCATATGCTTAGATCACCATTAACCATTAAAGCCAACAGAAAAATATACAATGGCAACAGAAAAAGACAAATCCTTGCATCATATGTTATTTTCATCTTTTACAGATTCGTCATCTTTTTGATTCAAATACTAAAAACTGGTCAAAATGCGAAGTTTTATCCCATGAAAATTATTTACTCAAACAAGAAAATGATCTTCTGAAGAAAGAGATAGCTAGTCTCTGGAGTATACGAGACAATGTAAACGATACGCATGCTGATAGAATCTCCAGTATAAATGACCTTGAATCACGAGGTAAGCAAAGAAGTGACCTATGTTTACTCACCAAGCTAACGAAAATTTAGTCATAGCTGTCTCGTTTGCTTAGAAAATTAGTTCTCCCCAAATTATATAAATCACCCTGCCATACGAATGTTAGTTTATGTTCTTTTGACTGTAGATTTACTCATTTTTATACTGCTAATCGCTTAACTGACTTGTTCTCCAAGTGATAAAACCTTATGGCACTGCATAATAATAGTAATATCGCCTCTGAATACATGCTGATATCAAACGAGTGTATTTGACCAGTGTCGATTATTAAGAAAAGAAAGTATGACTGAAACGCCTAACCATTTTAAGTCAGGTTGAATAAACTGAACTTTAGCATTTTTTTACAAATTAAAAATTAGTCACTCATATGACAAGTTTTCCCTCCACACTTAATTATTAAAATCAGCGGAGAATGATAGTGATAAGAGAAAAATATATTGCAAACAAATCGCTATCCAATGACAATTGTATATATGATTTTAATATATTGATAAATTCATTGCGATCAATCACTAACCCTTTTGGCGAATCAACAGTCCATAGTATGTTGATACAGACGTACAGTGAAGTTGTATGGAAGCGTGTAGGTATGTATATCCGTATGGAAGTTTGTTCGTATGTCTATGTACATTTGTGTGTAAGTGCATTATCTAATACCTACTAAGTATATTCAGAATGTAACAGGCATAAAAGTGTGTTTGTACTTAACCTATTCACAAAACTTTTTTTTCCAAAAAGTAAGGATTATAGTCTATCTATTGGATTATTTCCTTTTAAAATCATTTGTAAAATAATTATAATCGCCTCATTTCTATCTTTGACATTACTAAGACTGGTGCACTGTGTTTTTATCGATCCTAATTACATTTGGCTAGCGTGTTGCTTTAATGTTATTTAGTTTACAAAGTTTATAGTACATATCTGTTTGTACCACTACGAACTTCCACTGTTTCTCCTTTTCCTTTCATCTCATCCTAATAAAGGTTTTTGTATTTCCCAATGAATGGAAAACAAAACGATATTGTTTTTACTGACGTTTCGCTATTTAATGCTAATAGCTTTATCAAAGTATTATTAAACCGGAATTTGCAAAATCTCAGCATATATATAACAAAGAGTTAGGGGGTGAGAAAAAAAAGACTTAGTTCAACGTAAAAGGACATATTGAAAGTCAAAATAACGATGAAGATCACTAAACCAAATATCGAAGGTAATAGTACATCTGTTATGATATCAAAACAAAGTTTACTAACTTGATCATCGTTCATTAGGAAATACAAAAACCTTTATTATAATGAATATCATATACCCAATGCCCAAATTTTTTCAAACCGTTAGAAGTGAACTTGGTTTGGAAATATTCAATTCATCTCATCCTGTTTATCATAGGTTAAATGTGTGTGTGTGTCTGTCTTGTACTTTATCCAAGGATTTTTCTCATGAATACTTCGGAGTAATTTAGCACATCTCAGGAAAGGAAAGGCTGAATATACTTCCCAAAGAGAAGACAGTTGAATTCATTCCAACATAGAGGCTGTAAGATCATGAAAAGTTTTGCAATGCTGTATAGTAGTTTCTTGGAATTATGAAATGCTTCAGCAGTATCTGGAGATAATCCACATGTGGTAGGGCTGGAGATCTCCAAACCTGATGTCTTTTGAATGTAGCAGTAATCAAACGTTCGATAACAAGATACACTATATTACTAGGTGATTGTGCTCAGTACTACAGATTCATACACACAGTGTCTTTCTCGCTGCATGTATAATTTTGAATTGAACATGAATAAAAATCAGAGGTATAATTGGTATTATTGTATTCAGTACTGTTTAGTATATTTTGATAGTTCAGTAAACAGCCAGCTGACTGGGTATTCGCACTGCTAAGTAAACAGACCGAAATAAGATTACAGGCAGAAATAAATGACATGACACTGAATACTATATTGTAACAGGTCAATGGACTGATAGTTTTGAACATATATCTTATTGAAATAATAATTCATCATTTTCATACCTTTTTAAACTCATAAGGACATTTCATGACACTTATTGGAGATCGATTATCAGGTTCACTGGACTGGTTGCTAACGAAACCTTTGAGCAGATAAAAAAATGCTGGTCAGAGATATGCCAACATACGTCGTCCTTTAAGTTTGTGATATCTGTCGAATGGATGAGATAATAGTGCAGTAATCTGCATTGTTCAACTATATACCCACTGAAAGTAGAAGAAATGAATAAATCATAGGTTTAAGAGCATGTGTATTTTCTCAGAATTATTTGTGAATGATGCATTCATAAGACTTAAGTGTGAAATATTCTCATATAATTAATTACAAATCCATCTGAAGGAGGAATATTCTTTTCAGTAAATTCTCTTATATTTATATAATATAATCTTCACCACTACAATAATAGCCAGTTTTGCGGCTGATACATTTTTATGTAGGATAACATTATTTATAGAGTAATAGAATCAATGGAGTTTGTGTGACAAACGTACTGGGCTTAATTCAATCACAAAATGTTGAGAAATGCGGGATGATGCACTGGATACAGAACGCCGTCACTCCGCCTGAACAAACTGGATTGAGGAAAGGCAAGTCATGCGCTGATCGAATTGCAACTATACGCATCTCATCATCATCACAGAAAAAAGCATAGAATGTCAGTCAAACCTCCACCTCAACGTCGAATTCAAAAGGACCTTCGACAGACAGTGTTGACGGAGAAGTAATTTGGTAACTACTTCAACACTACGGCGTGCATTGCTCAAATATTTCTTAATCTAATCCAACAGCTGGCTATATGACAATGCTACATGTCAGGTGATTCACAACGGGAAACTCATTGAGGTGTTCGAAGTGAATGCAGGAGTAAGACAAGGCTGCTTGCCTATCATCATCCAAGATGATAATCTTCGTTGTGGTGGACTGGATTATGCGTCAAATTGTATGTGCTTGCGAGCAAGGAGATAGGAATACACTGGATCACCGATAAGAAGACTTTCGAAGATCTGGATTTTGCGTGTGGATGATTTATGTCTAGTGTCACACAAACTCGAAGACTCACGGTCAGGCGAAAACCAACAAATTGGCAGCAGTGAGATGCAGTGAAGATAAGACTCCACGTGAACAGAGACAACACAGAGGTGATGAAGATAACCAGCCAACCACAGAAGATACAACAACAACAACCAGCACCAATCACCATCAACGGGACAAATTTAACAGAGGGTACTTCCTGACTTCATTTATCTATGAAGCATCGTTTCAACTACAGGATAACCGAACGGATAAAGATGTCAAGGCCAGCCAGCCAGCCAGAATCGGTAAGGGAAGATAAGCACGCCTCTATCAACCTGAAACCAGTTTGGAAATCTTCTGCACTGCACTACATCTCAGCGTGAAGAACAAGATTCAGATTTTCAACACAAGTGTGAAGTCATTGGGTTCTTCAATGTGGTTCAGAAACTTGTACTGCGTGTCATGAGAAGGATTTCCAACAGCATGTTGTGGACCTTTGTCAACAGCTGCCTCCTTTGCAGGCTGGCTTCATACTGAAGATGAAATGGCCATCTGGCCAGAAAGAATTAGCAACAAGAGACTCCGGCTGGGAACAAACCAACCAAGAGCCGATTGCTCAACAAATATGTAGGAGAAAATGGAGATGGATCGGGCATACGCTGAAGAGGCCGTCAAATGACATCGTGAGTGAGGCCAGTGCTCAAGTGGAATCCGAATTGGAAGCGACGAGTGGGTCGTGACTTCGAGAGTGACAAGAATGAGGTCGTGCGAAGGGGAAAGGAAAGATTTTGGGGAGTCGTGGGGCTAGCTGAAAAGGACGGCAGAAAATAGAAGAAAGTGGATATCCCATAGCTACTCTATGCATATTTCGTAATTAAACAGGAAATGAACATCTATTGTATACTTAAGCAGTAATTGGTGCGGGTTAATAATAGGGATATCAGTGCACGACTTACTATCCATAATCTATCCGCATATATGGTCTACGGTTTCCACCTGAGGTTCATCAGTGAATAAAAATGAAGCAACTAAAGATGTCGAATGTTTGTCGGCTATGTTCAATTTTTTTATCTTACACTGGAAGGTGTCTTTAATGCTCTGCTTCACTCGTGGATCACGTAGGGGTTGAAGTAACTGCACCAACCAGGTTTCAGTCTCGCAATAAGGTGACTGCGACAGAGTGGCGCAGCTGATTTATGCACTTTCGGTAGACCGTTTATACGTATTGTTGGTAAAATAAACCGTTTTTATCGTAGTTCACTTCAGAAGTTAGTTTTGTCTTGGAATGTTAATTAAAGTGCTTAAAAAAAGGTGAAGAGGAGATGAAAGCATGTGGGCAGACCTGGAGCAGGGTGAAAAAGTTGTCAGAAAACCGAAGTCAATGGAGGTGCGCAGCTGAAGCCCTATGTTCCTCTAGGAACTAAAGGATACAATAATAATAATAATACAAATGAAAAAGTTGTGAATCCTGATTAACTGAGGTGTCTGGGATCTGTGCTGCTCATGTGAAACCACAATGTTAGCTGAGGTAGGATTAATCTAGTAGAGTAACGTGTGGCCAGAACAAAATATAACAACAAACTATGCAGTCACTAATTATTTATCCTAACCGTGCAAAGAGATGTAAGTTGTGTGCTTTACATTCTTCGGTTAGGTTAAGATTGTAATTACTATCTAACATATACAAAGAGTCAAATAACATTATTCAAAGGATTTGAAATTCGCACAGTGAAACCAATAAAATGTTATCAGTATTATCTATGGTTCTGTTGCTGGATGCATTGGTACCGGGAAATTGTTCTCCTCTGACTTAATCCATATAGAAAAATACTGCTTTTGTAGCTATATGTTTTAAGGTGTTATAGAATTAAAGGAGGGGTAGTCTATGCAGTCTCTAAATAATCCTAACACCACAAATATATTGACTGTGGGTGTATCAATGAGTTTCTTTTGG